GGCGGGGCCGGGCCGACGGGGCGCAGGACTGGGCGGCGCGTGACCGCGGGGGCGGCGGCCCCTCCGCGAGGAAGACCCCGCCGGGCCGTGCCTCCCTCCCAGCACGGCCCCGGCCCCGCCTTCCCGCCGCCTCCCGGTCGGGGTGCTCACACTCGGGCGGCCGTCACGGTGGCGGAATGAAAGCAGAAACGCCGCCCCCGGCCACACCTCCGCTCCTCAGGGCCGCCCCGTCCGCTCCGTCAGCTCCGAGAGGAAGGCGGTTCTCGCGAGATTTGAGCGCCGCTGGCGGGGCGGGGCCTCTGGGGGGCGGGGCCGCGGTCACGCACCCGGTGGGCTGACGTCATCCGCACCACGTGAGTCCGCCTCGCTCGACCCCCTGCAGAGAAGCCGAGGGCGGGTCGCGGGTCCCCCAGGCGCGCTGCACTCTGCCGGCTGGTGCGCGTGTGTCCTGCGGGGAGGCTGAGCGCGCGTCCCCGGCTGCTCCGCCCTGGCTGCCCCTGAGCACGCGTGTCGTTTACAGGAAAAGGCGAAGATATAACGGTGCGCCACGTGGGAAACGGGGATGAGCTATGACTGCGGAGCACCCCTCCGCCTGCCCGGGCAGTGCCCTTAGGAAGCTGTCACCTTGGATGGCCTGCTGGACAGAGGCCGGAAGCAATGGCGCAGGGAGCGTTGGTCCGCGCTTTGGCTTCACCGCCTCCTGCTTTGCAGCGCCAGCGCCCGCAGGGAAGCCTTGGAGTCCATAGCGCGTTTGCGCACCCTGAGCATCGATTGCATCAGGGACCAGGCACCTCACAGCTGGGAGAGGGAGGGCCCTGGAGGGAGAGTCCAGGTGGAAAGGCGGTGCTGCTTGCACCAGGGCTGCTGCTGTCCGTGTCCCCCCTAATTCCCGTAGGCCCCCGCCTGGGACACGTCACACTGCCAGTAACCTGAGCTTTTACCAACGTTCTCAAAATGTCCACACTGTCTAACCGTAATGCTTACTGCAACAGAATTGAACTTTATTCGTGTTTTGATTACCAGCCTTAAAAAAGTATGACACTGGAACAAAACAGGATGATACCGGAAACTACATACAGGGAAGAAACAAGGTGTCTACACATTAATAGTTGGGCCATAACGTTGGAGAAAAAGCCCCCCACCAATTTGGTCTAGGTTAAAAATTGTTTAATCTATAGCTTGAATATTTAGCAATATGGTTCCAAGTTATCATGCAATAATTTCATATTCTCTGAACCTAAAAATGAAACAGAAAAAAAAGTAAAATTAAAACAATAAATCAAGTTATCATAACATTTTACAACTCTGGGGAAGAAAATGGTTTTTTAAATACTCACATAAAGAGGTCTAGGTAATTACAGTATTTATCTCTGTTCCTTAAATGACTGGTAATTGTAAGTGGTTATGACAATAGAGGAAACGTAACTGAGTTTTAATCGTGATGTATTAGTAGACAACCAATGTGTGCTTTTTTGAAGCAAGGACTGTCTACTCGTCTGTGTTTGCTCTGGTCCTTGATCTACTGTATAGAGTCTATAGACTATACATAAAGAGCAAGAGCGGAGGAGACTTTCAGAACACTGTGACAAATCAATCAATATGGAGCCGCTGTCAGCCATGACTGCTTATGTCAAGTGCTATGACAAGACTAAGGCAATGCGCCCTAACTGGTTTGGCTCAGTGGATAGAGCGTCAGCCTGCAGACTCAAGGGTCCCAGGTTCGATTCCGGTCAAGGGCATGTACCTTGGTTGCGGGCACATCCCCAGTAGGAAGTGTGCAGGAGGCAGCTGATCGATGTTTCTCTCTCATCGATGTTTCTAACTCTCTATCCCTCTCCCTTCCTCTCTGTAAAAAATCAATTAAAAAAAAAAAAGACTAAGGCAATGGGGTATAAAGGGGATGCCCTTGGGAGGGGCCAGGAATGCCCCAAACCGTAGGTCTGAACGCTTGGATAGGGAATCCATCTGGACACTGATATGGTAGGGGCAGAAGCAGAGTGTGGGGCCCAGCAATGACGGTAAGAAATGTTGATCCTGCTCTGTTAGCCGTGACTGGGTTGTTCTGGTTAAAGAAGGCGCATGCTAACCTGGCTGGGAGGTGCAGGTGGGCCCTGGGAGCTCTGGAAATGCGGCCTATCCTCTCCAGCCAGGAGCTGCCTGTGACCATGGAAAACCCAACAACCTGTTGCAGAAACCAGAGCCACCAGCCCTCTGTGGACCCCCAGCCCTTTGCATATCACCAGCCCTTTGAAGATCCCCAGCCTTTGCACACCCACAGGCCTTTGCACACCCACAGGCCTTTGCATACCCACAGGCCTTTGCACACCCACAGGCCTTTGCACATCCACAGGCCTTTGCACACACCCCAGCCTTTGCACACCCACAGGCCTTTGCACACACCCCAGCCTTTGCACACCCACAGGCCTATGCACACCTCCAGCCTTTGCACACCCACAGGCCTTTGCACACCCACAGGCTTTTGCAAATCCCCAGCCCCCGTGACCTGTGAACTGCCCCTTTGTCGCACTCTTTTGTCCACTTCCCCAGGTATTCTTCGTCCTTCTACCCCAATGTAAGCAGCTGCTTATGGGGGGGGGGGGCAGAGAGATGTCTGTGGGCGACCTGCTGCTCCCCCTGCTGCTCCCCCCGCTGCCGGCAGGACTGGAATAAACGCTCACAGAGGACCCAGCCCTGTCTCTGCTGAATTGGCTCAGGTAGTGACAGGCGCCCAGACCCCTTCGCTGTCTGGTGACAATATGAGTGGAACTCCAGGCCTGGTGGCGGTAAGAACTCAGCTCCAAGACTCCACACGGGACGCTCGCTCTGCTCGCTTCTGTGGCACGTGCTTCCCTCTCTGTGTAACCTGTGTGTGACTGTCGGCGTATCGGGCAGGTCTCCCCTAATGAGCCTGGCGCTGGGGAAAGACGCAAGTGTGTGCGAGGGACCCTCTTTGGGGACGCTCCCTGCCTCATGACATCTATGTCTCGAACTAATTAAAACATTTCTCTTATTTAAACAAATACCGACAATTCCTGCTGAAGTTGGACCTCCTCAAGACAGAGGTCTGAAAGTTACTTAGACATTATTCCGTTTGGATCACAGCCCTGGCCCCCTTCAGTCGCAGCCCAACAGCCAGAATTAGCCCCTGAAAAACTCGGTCAGAACAAGGATCCTTTTGCTCAAAAACTTCCGAAGGCTTTCCATCTCGGTTAGACTAAACCCCAAATCCTAAAATGGCTCCCAAGGGCCCAGGGCATCTGCCCGCCACCCAGACATGCAGACTCCATTAGACTTCCTCGCTCAGGCTGGGCCTGGCTCCTTCCATGCCAGCCACACTGGCCCCTGCTGGCCCCGGCATGACTGGGCCCTCCAGGTTAGGGGCTTGTATGTGCCCTTCCCTCTTCCCAAGATGGTCCCCTGTGAGTTATCCTGTCTCATTTCTTCCCCTCCTCCCAGCATGTTCTCAACTATCACCCATAGGCATGGCCTTCCCTGGCAACTTATCAATCACTTCTCTTTCCATCCCTGCTTCCTGCTTCCTTTCCCCTGAATAATACCTATCACCCCCTACTGCTGCATACATTTCACGTGTCCCTTGTGAACCGTTTATACTTCACAGCGAGAAAACAAGCTCCCCACGCGCATGAGTTGTCGTCCGTTTTGTTTGCTGCTCTATTTCCAGCGACTGGAATAGCGCTGGGCACATCCCAGCGGCTCAATGAACTGTGTTGAACAGGCAGATTCATTATTGGGGGCTTAGAGGATCTAATCACAATTTCCACATGACAGTTGGCAGCTGGTAACGTGCCCATAAGACTTCTTACTATGAACTGTGATCATTTTTAAATCAGGAGGGTCATGGTAGCCCATGACTAAGTACTTATGCAGAAACATGGATTTAAAAGACACACTAGCCCTGGCCGGCTTGGCTCAGTGGATAGAGCGTCAGCCTGCAGACTGAAGGGTCCCAGGTTCGATTCCGGCCAAGAGCACAGGCCTGGGTTGCGGGCTCGATCCCCAGTGGGGGGTGTGCAGGAGGCAGCCGATCAATGATTCTCTCTCATCATTGATGTTTCTATCTCTCTCTCCTCCCTTTCTCTCTGAAATCAATAAAGAAATATTTTTAAAAAAAATAAAAAATAAATATCATTATTAAAAAAAAAAGACACACTAATAATTGGCATCGAGGGAAAAGGACCTTGTACTAATTTTCTTGCCATTGAAGTCTTTTTTTTTTAAATATATTTTATTGATTTTTTACAGAGAGGAAGGGAGTTAGAAACATCGATGAGAGAGAAACATCAATCAGCTGCCTCCTGCACATCT